CTCCTCTCCCTTTCTGCCCGGTCATTGATCTCCAACTTGGCAGAATCAAGGAGGATGGTGAGTTGGGAGACCTGGTCTTTTGGCTCCAGCAGACTTTGGCCAATCTCTTCTGAAATGACCCCGGCCTATAAATTCAAAAAAGAGATACATCAATAAATGCAAAGGAAATATTCTAACCGGGAGGAAAACCAAAGATGAAGTACCTTGCTGAGTTTTTTGGCCAGGGATAGGAAGGCTTCTTCGATGGACTCCCCCTCCGTATCTGATAACCTGACCTTCTTCTTCCTGTCTCCCTTGGAGCTCTTTTGGGACCCTTTCCTTTTTTGGCCCTTAGCACGGGAAGAAGAATGGCTGGCCTCCTTGGACTTGGATTCAACCCGGTCGCCTTCGGAGAAATGGAGGGCTGAGGGTGACTTCACCTGCTTATCTCGAATGAGATCATCAAAGGAAGAGCACCGAGCAGTTGAGGCCCCTTCAACTCCAAGGTTTTGAGGAGGAGAGGGAGAGTTGCGATTAGGAGACCGGTTGGAGTGGAGGACTTTGACATCATCGTCGTCATCCTCGATGATGGTGGTCATCCTGTTGAAATTCATGTCTGAAAAAGAACAAAGCAAAAGATGATCGGTTATTTTTCGAGGAGTGTACATAAAATAAAGAAAATGAAATTAAGAAGCTCAAGAGAGGATGATCGACCTGGACGAGGAGAACTGGCCTCAGCATGACCATCCGGGGAGGTTTCCCGGTCATCTTCTGCGTCATGGGTCGCAAATTCACCCCCATTCGGATTAGATAGCCGGAATACCCAGCCTCCATAGGCATAAGGATTCCCGGTCACAGGATCACCCTTGAGAAGTTTCTCGCAGGCGTCCTCAAGATCTTTGGTGGGCTCCGGATGAACCCTTTCAGGTTTATAACCCGGTCAGCCCACTCAGGGTTAGAGAAAGGAAATTGGTCAGGGGGGAATTCAACAAAAACAAATCTCTTCTTCCATCTTTTGTGGCTAGGGGGAAGACCGGTCACAAAACTCCTCTTATTACGTGAATGAAAATAAACAAAGCCCGGGCAATTACTAGTCCCGGGCAAGACTTCGTACATGTGGAGGAAAAGATGAAGGGAAGGGTCGATTTTCAAATGTTCACAGATATTTACGAAACAATTCAAGAACCGGTGAGCATTTGGAGTAAGCTGGCCGGGCAAAATCTTGAACTTGTTACAGATTTCAATAAGGAGGGGGCGGAGAGGAAAAATAATACCTCCCTCCAGAGATGCAATATGGAAACCCAACCGGGTTCCCTGGTGGGGTTC